TTTCCTGTGTGTTATACAACAGATGTGTGTTCAAGACAATTGTCATACCCTAGAGAATATACTGAGTTAAGGGTACCCAAAAAAGTACCCTGATACCAGTATGTCACGGGAACTTTTGGGTACCAAAGTACTTGCAGGTACTTACAGGTACCTAAATGGTACTTTGACAAGTACCCTGCTGGAAAATGTACAGTAATTGGGTACCTGAAGGTACTGATCAAGTACTGAATTGGGTACCCTTGTATAGTATTTCTAAGTACCCTGTTACCAAATTTTCAGTATGTTCAAGATCGAACCTGATCTTTGACTCTAAAACTTTTTTCTTTTTCTTGAGATAATTTACTAGATTCTTTTACTTTATTCAATTTAATTTTTTTCAATTCGAAAAACTTAGCAGGAACAATGTCGGAATCCGACTCAACTTGAGTTGGTCATAGATCACTTCAGGGTAGTCCGATCTTAATTTATGACCAAGCTCGGCATTTTCTTCGACTAGAAATAGTCAAGAAATAATTTAGAAAAAATTAGTATGAAAATTGATTATTTTCTTATGATTTATCGAGTTGTTTATATAGAGCCCTGCGTAAAAAAGAAAACGGTGAATGAATAATCGCCACACAGAACGCGACAAATTTAGGATACCCTGTCGAGCTTTCCTCAGTAAAGTTACAGACTTGGGTATCCATGTAGGTACTTATTCAGTGAATGTACTTTTACGGGTACCCCAAACAGTACATACATCAGTAAAATTACTGAGAATTTTCAAAGTACCCATACTGGGTACCCTGCTAGAGCTTTCTCAGTACATGGGTACCCTGAACTCAGTACTTTCTCTAGGGTAGCTAATTATTTGTTTTTTCTGTTTGTTTGTCTTTGATGTTATAAACTGTAAAATGCTTATAATCAATAATAAAATGTTGATATTGTCCATCAAAGGCAATATTTTGTTGTTTTATGGAGAATTTTAATGGTATAACTAAATGGAGCTAGAGACGGCTCAGGTTTCCTTACAAATGTTTGAGTCTTGTGCCGATAATGATATCACTATTTACTCTTTCTTTATTGTTCTATCCAGTGGTCATATTTCTCTCCCGTTCTCTCTCCTATATGAGTTTGTATTACATGTGAAATAGTTACTTTCTGAAGCTATGAAGTATAATCAATAAACATCATTATCGAGGGTGGCGGTAAGGCTACTCTTCCAATTTTTTGTTATAAGCCTCTTCCAGAAAATTTTGAAATTGCTGTAAGTGCGGATGTGAGCCTCTTAGAGGAGGCTTAAAAAGATTAAATCCCTTCTCCCTCTAGTATAGTGAGAGTCAACTGAATTTTTTCCCTCTTCGTTTTTTTTTGTATTTTTATAACCATAATTCGTTTATTATTAAATATATTATAAATAGCGAGAAAGTACGGGACGTGCTGCATCTTATGGCATATTCATCTTGAATAACAAAGAAAGTTTAAAGCACGAAATTTGTATCAGAAAAAAGAGCTAAATTTGTTTTTCTACAAGGTAGAGTGTGAGCTAAGCAGGTTTCCTCTCTTATTTGTTTTGTTCGCATTTATATTAACATGTACCAATTCGGGAAGGTAACGATTCGTAACGGTTGGTTACGAAAGCCCAGTAAGAAGCAGGGCTTTCGTAACAATGTAAAATGCATAAATCATAAAAAGCAGGGCTTTCGTATCGATTTTCGACAGGGCTTTCGTATCGTTTTAGACAGGGCTTTCGTATCATTTTTTAAAGAGCTTTCCTATCAAGTTTACAGGGCCTTCGTAACAATTTTGACAGGGTCTTCGTATCGGTCTTACAGGATCTTCGTACCGTTCTTACAGGGCTATCGTAACGTAAAAGGATTTGGTATGATCTTTAGTCAGATGTTGCTGACAGGATTTCATATTGAAATTAGTGATCTACCAAAATTATAACATAAATAGTTCAAAAGTAGCAAGTGAGAACCAGCATATAAGTATAGACAAATTTTTATCTTCTTGTAAATCTCTTTCTTAGTAACAACAAAAAGTAACAAAAACCAGGCAATACATAAAGAGAGAAGAGTGAACGAGAACAATATCCAGATAATAGAATTAAGAATACACATAATTGATTTCCTCGATTTTAAGTCAACAACTTTCACAAAAAAAGGCGTACACAATTCTGGAAAAACATAGAGAACTAGAAATAACAACGACATCTATGAATGTATACAAATAATTCATTAACAGTATAGTACCATGTATTTGGACCATTTAAGTATATAAAACTTGTTACGAATGGATCCCACTTAATGACTTAAGCTATATTTGTAAGCATGGGTATTCGTAACTAATACCCTGTTCTTTTTAGTGCCAGTCTTTCATTTTAGTTATGAATGCAATAAGAACTTGATTACGAAAGCCCTGTCAAAAACGATACGAAAGCTCTGTATAAGTTTGATACAAAAGCCCTGTCAAAATTTGATACGAAAGCCTTGTCAGAATTTGTTACGAAAGTCCTGTCAAAATTCGTTACGAAAGCCCTGTAGTAAAAACGATGACAGGGCTTTCGTATTACGAAAGCCCTGTAAATTTCTCGTTACGAATCGTTACACCCCCACCAATTCAGAGTTTATATTTATGTAGTGCTCTATCTACTAGCATAGTCGACGTAATAAGATAAAACCAAAACCGTTTAGTCAATGGAAAGTTGGAAAAGACTCAATCTCAAATAGTTTTATGTTTATTTGTCACTTGTATAGGTTTACAGAAAAGCACATCGTTTTTTATTCTTTTCTATATTTTGAGTATGGGTGTAGATGTGGAGTGTGGGCTCTTTGATCGTCAATACCCACACGCTCACCCTTTATCCCATACTGATAAGAGTTAAAAGGCAGTCTTCCCAAAAATTAAAAAATCACGAAAATCTCTCAAAAGCAGGATAATAGAGTGAAAATCTCTTCTGAAAGTCTGTTAAAATTTGACCTTCTTTCAACAATTCAGATATATTCTGAGAGAGGAAACTTCGTCGCACCTTCCTATGGTAAAAACGAGCTTCAACTATTATTCGAAACAATGGATTTTCTGAGCGAGACCTTAAGTAGAAAAACGTTCAGTTATAATAATAGTTATTTTTTGAGCTATATTTACAGAAGATAATTTTCGAATACGAGCACCAGTTGAACATGAAAAACAACGTTCTATGTAAGCCATAACTAATAGCCAACGACATGACATAGCACTTGTTTGATTTAAATAAGCTCGTGCCCTACAAAAACTTGATATTGTAGTAAATGGATTTTCAAAATTATAAACAGTATAGATTTGTGGTACAGTGCCTATTGAAAGTAATATTAATGCACTTATTAATGATGATAATAAATCTTTAATTGAAAAACAGGAAAAAAAAGGAAATTATCAATTATTGTTGTATGATTAAACAACTTACAAATACAGCACGAGTTTGATCGTAATTGACATCCTAGAAAAAGAACTATATTTATTAATAAACCAATTGTACCCAGTACATAATATTGTCGTATGACCATATCGAACTAACAGTTTTTACGCTATATTCAATGAAACAGTCAATGAAGACAAATTGACTGTGTTATTTGTAATGCTTTCTGTCTGTTTCAAGAACTAACTTATTTTCTGACGTCATAAGGTTTTTCATAAAAAGAAAAACAAATGAACGCGAAATAAGAAAGTTAATTATTCTAGTATTCATTGCCAGATTTTATTTCAGTAGTGATGATATTCTTAATCAAATATTAATGACAGAAATATTCTTATTTTCTTACTAAGAGAAAACAGGTATAAGTAGAGCGAATATGAATAGAGGTATTATCTTTCAAAAAAACAGTTATTTTTTAGCTAAAATCTATTCAATTTTAAATCATAAACTTTTCTTCTTTTTATTTGAATGTCATTCTCAAGATAAATTGTTTTCTATTAAAACTTTTTGATGCTTTCAATTATCTAATATCAAGATAAGAATAAATGATAATACTGAATAAGTTGATGTCGTTAATAAATTATATTTACTATAGTTTAAAGTTAAATTATTTTCTCAACCTTGAGAACTATCATTAAGGAATAAGACTATGAGAGTCTTCTTCGTTAATGCTTTTATTAATCATCGTCATCACAAATGATGGAAAAAAACAATAAAAAATTCATTTTTCAATTTTAGATAATGAATGAAAATTAATTATGATTTAATTTTCAAAACAAATTGACGCCTACACTAAAAAAACGACTTAACAATGGATTAGTTCTAAAATATAATTGAATTGAATATTATATTTGATAAAAGTTGACATCTCACATGAAAGGGTGTCGATGAACACGAATTGGCCAGCATGAATCGAAGTTGGCAGCTTTGGATCACATCCATACTCTTGTTTTTTGTATAACTTGAAACATAAGATAAAACTACAAGTTGGTATTTTAGTGCATTTTCAGTTTCTATGAAATAGTGATG